TGGGCGGGAGAGCGGGGCATTTGGGCGGCGGGCCGTGGGGCAGCGGAGGAGCGCCCGCCGATCCCCCTGAAGCCGGTGGGGGGAAGGTAGCCGTCCCCGCGATTTCGGCGCTGAGCAGCGGGAAGGGCCCTGCGGGCGCGAGGCGGTTGGCCCGAGGGGAGGCTGCCGTGGGAAGGGCGGCTTGTTATTGGGGGTCCCGAGCGGAGGGGCGGGGCGGGGAAATGACGCTTCCAGAAGGGTGTTTAGGGCCGATCCGGGCTTCGGTCAGGTTTTTGAACTTGCCGATATGGTGTGTGTATGTAATACACCTATTATATTTATGTATATGTATGTATGTATCACTGTCATTCGATCATAAACAAGCCTAAAAAGTGCGTTGTGCAGACAGCTGATGAAAATCACTTTCCTAAACTACTAGGACGAGCGTCTCACGAAGCTGGTTGGTGGGAGATTCAAGGAGGCGCTGCTTTTCACTACGTGGAACTCAAGAAGTGGTGGCTTTGAAAGGAAATTAATTAAGGCTGTTTGTAACTATTCGTCTTGACTGATGGCTGTATATGGACTTCCAGGGGCATCAGTACCGGGGCAGACAGGCTTTCGGGGTTGATCCAGGGTAGCCCTTCATGTGTTTTGGTTCCATATGTGGGAAATGTTTTGCAAGTAATCATATTAACTTTTTAGAATATTGTGCAATTTATGACACAGCTGAAAGGATACTTTGGATTCCTAATACTCACTTTTGCAAAGAAATTTTAAAATTCCATTTGCTGTTTATGTAAAAAATATTTTTAAAATATTATTTTTTGTTTTCCATGTATTGTGAGCCACCCAGAGCCATTGTGGAATCAGGTGGTGCCTAAATTGAACAAATAAATATTTGAGCACTATGCATTTTCAGAATAAGAATTTTAGACCTTTGTGTGAACAGCCATCTAAGATTTTTCCAGTCTTATACTAAAAGTTTGCTTGCTTCTAGTGAGTTGTACGGGGATCACTCAATACAATGTTTTGCTGCTGGTAAGTAGGCAAGTGCCTATATTACTGTACATGGTTAGTGTAAAAATTACATTTGAAGAATAATACCACCCTACCTCCTTTTCCTTGTATTTTTTTTTAAACTAAGCTCCAGTGAAAAAATTGAGCTTATTTCCAAATACATAAGCTTTAAGACTCATTGCCTGAAGGGCTATAATTAATGTACCAAGCCATCAAATAATATTAACATGGATATAGAGATTTTGCACTGAGAGCTTCAAACCTAAAGGCAAAGCATTTAAATTAAATATTTAATTTTTAAAAAATTATTTCCCATCTAAGTTGAGAGAATAATTTTTTTTTGTGAAGTAGGAAGCATAAGATATGAAAATTGGTGCTAACCTTTGCCTACAGTATTGCCTTTTTTTCATTCAAATTGCACACTTTGACGTCACTAAAGAGAGCCCAGAGCTAGCAAAGCTGGATCTGTTAGATGCTTGTTAACAGATTGTGGCGCTGTCCTTTGGGGACATTCTGCTGCATGATGTAATTGAATGAAAAAAAAATCTGTTGAAATAGAGGTCTTCTCTTTCCCCACTTGTGTTTGGATGCTATGGGCATGAAGTCTCCCTGGATTCCTTGTGGTTTTGCGTTGCTGTGTGTGAACATAACTTTTTCATCAGAGCTGAGAGGAGATATAGAGGTCTTCTTAGCTGCTTTTGTTTTTCTTGGAAGGATTTGCATAGGAAGTGAGCATAGATTCTGTCAGGTGAGTAAGGCCAGAGGAAGAGATTATTATTATTCATTTGAATGTACTAGCTAAGATGAAGGAAGTGTTTTCTCAGTCCTTTTTCTAACACATCCCCAAGTATTTTGTGATTTTACAAGGGCTTCAGGTTTAACCTGGATGTTACTTAACTAAGATTTGATCAGTACTTTTGAGTAGCAGCCTTGTTTCAGGTGATGTATCAAATGCCAAGGGCACCCTTGTTTAAATTGGGGGGTTCTTGTGTATTGCCGTAGGGGAGACTGGGAGCACACTTGTGTTTTATACGTGAAAACTAAAACAAAATATGTCTTGCGGTTCCTCTCATACCGAGCAGGATTACTAGCGCTACAACACGTCAGTAGGGTAAAACTAACCTGTTTCATGACGGTCTAATCCCAGCTCACATTTCCTATTAGTGGGTGAACAGTCCAACCCTTGGTGAATTCTGCTTCACAACAATAGGAAGAACTGACATCAAAAGATCAAAAAGCAACATTGCTATGTTGTTTTTATCCTGTGAGTTAGAGAAGTTCTGTGGTCAGTTTTGCCCTTTGTGGTGATGAGCCAAGAATCTTAATGATCACAGGGAGCATCTCAGCCCCAAATAGGAATGGGGAGGGAGTCAGCTTAGCTGTAATTGGCATAATACTGTCTTCCGTTGGATCTGCTTCTTTGGATATGAGAGGTTGAAGTTACAGATTAGGTGTAGTGATCCGTACAGACCCTTAAAAATGAACTGTAGGCCCTTTTGTGGCATCTGTTCATTTCACGGAGTTAGTCCGGCAAACTGCTTGTATTTGATCCCAGGTATCAAGGGAGACAGATTTTCCCCCCTATTATAGCTCTCTTCCAGTGATCTTTTACATTTTCATGCTGTTGAACTGAAAAACATAATATGTGTCTAGCATAAATGCATTTTCTTCTGTAGACAGACAAGACAACAGATTTAAGCAGTAATTCAAAAAACTTTAGCAGCATTTTGGCTTTCTTCTTGAGGGGCATTGTTGAAGGAGAACTCTGTTACTCTGTGGTGGTAAAAAATCAGTTCTGGGAGCACTTTTTCTGACTCTCACATTTTATTAAAAAGATAGAAGCTTTTGTGAGCTGCAGCTGCCTTCATGAGAGGCATTGAGTATGTAAGACATTGGTCTAGCCCACATCCTACGCATCACTCAAGCCACCCTTTGGATCCGATGAGGAGAGCTGCTGCAGCTCACAAAAGGTTCTGCCTTTTAATAAAATTGGCTCGTTGGGAAAGGTGCTCCCAGGCGCCTCCTGATTTCTTGATATGCAGTTTCATCTTAAATCTTTGCCCCAGGATTGGTGTGTGATTAATACAGAGTTTTAAAAGCCTTTGTGCCAGAGGAAAATCAATAGAGATTGGCTTAGAAAAGTATAAAAGCTATTAATTAATGTTAATGCAGATAGTGAAGAGTCCTTAAAGTTATGTTTAAGTCTGTTTCAAGTGTAATTCTTAAGAATGCAGTGTTTATACATGTTGTACAATTTCAGAAACAGTTATTGAGAAACACTTGGCTTTCAGGTTCTTTCAGTCCTTCTAGATGTAATAACTTCTATCACGAAACTCAGGTCTGACAGAGGCATCTGTCACTATAGAAATTCCTACGAGGAATTTTCTCAAGCCAGAAAAATACAAAGAGGGCAGCCTATAATTTAGTACCACATTCTTCTCAATTTAGTCTATTTTCCCCCTATTTAAATATATATTTCCTGCTAGAATAATGTTAAGAGCTATTTACCACCTGAGCACTGTGTTGCAGCATAACTTGTGTGGATTTAAAATAATTGAAATGTTCTAACATTCATCTCAGGCTAGGAGACTGCTAATTCCTTTTGTGCAACTGATTATTCCATCTCTGCTCTTCCATTGGCTGAATTAAATAAATTCAAGACTCCTGGAGCCAAGAACTCTGTTTTCTGGCTGTTCAGGTTTAGCATCCTGAAACCTCTTTAGGCCAGGCCAGGCCAGGCCAGGCCAGTTCAAAATACAGGCTCACCTCATTGCACTCCCAGTGAGAGTCAGCCCAGGAACTTTTCCTGTCTCCCTAACAGAAGGTAGGAGATGTCTCATGTTTTCTTTCTGTCTACCCTCATGGCAAGCCTGCCCTTTCAAGGACAAGAAGGGAGAACCTCCGTAACTTTCCCAGCCCATTAGGAGACAGATTTCTGGGAATCTGAACACTTTAACTGGAGTTGGCTCCTTCCTGTATGAACTGTCCAGTATGTTGGCATTTTGGGTTGCTCCTTCAGAGATCCAGAGTGCCACCTCCGGGTCTCTCTTTGTTCCTCTGATGATCTGAGCTCCTTCCTGTTCTCCTGCTATCCTTCTTTCAGTTGCTGACTGGTCATCCTGCCTAACAAGTTACTTGCCAAACTCTTTCTGTAAAGATTTGTACGCATTTTATTGAATGCTAGAAATCCCAGGGAATTTTTCATGCTTCTTCATTAAACCTATATTTTGGCTTTGCTCTGTTACAAATAAGCTGTTCTGGGTTCTCTGGAAAGGGCAGCACGTAGATATATAATTTTTATTTATTACATATTTATATATTTATACACATTTATATAGACGCATACAATGAACTTTAACAATTGTTCAGAAACTCCTTTGTTCGATGTTGCGGCAGAAATTAGCCTGAATGAAAAGCACACACAGGATTCTTATTCTCATATTAAGACTTGATTGTTTCTTAATCTGCCAGGATTTCTCTTGCCTGTTCTGAAGTCGACGATCTGTCATCATTGCACAACAGTAGCCTCTAGTGGTATCTTCTCCTTGTGGGCATAATTAGCAAAATAATCTAATGGTGTTTTTGAATTATTATTGTTATTTGTTTTGGCAGGATTCAGCTCCACACAGACTTCTTGACGGGTCCAAATTGGAAGCCAAAAATGGCCAGCAAAGGATCTGCGGCTTCAGCTTCCACAGAAAGTTCCAGTGCTGGTGGGACCAGTGGGAACAGCAGCAATGGGGACAGTACAGGCCAGGACAGCACATTTGAATGCAACATCTGTTTGGACACTGCCAAGGATGCTGTGATCAGTCTGTGTGGGCACCTCTTCTGGTCAGTATCACTCCTAGTGTTCAGCAGAGAAATATTTAAAATCCCGCCTCCTGAGAAGGCTCTTGACTCCCTCTTGCTTCTTCCTTCCTTGCATCATCCTTACTAGGCAGGTGAGAGCTGTAAAGCTCAAGTCTTAAAACTCATTATTGACCCCACATGGAGCAGTTGACCTTCTCCCCATAGTGAGTGTTGGCACTGTTTAATCCTTGAGAATGCATCAAGGGGTGAAGCTGTGGAAGGAGTGGGCTAAGGAAAGAGAAGGGGTTTCTGTGATCAATCCCAGCTGGGGTTCAAGAGGTAGCCCATTTGCTGTGCCCAGAGAACTGATGGAATTGTGTCTCCTTCATAGCCCACCTTTGCCCCTCTCAGGGTTCAGTTTTGTGATGATTATATTGAGGACTGGCTGCTATGGAGTTTCAGTCTTTGGGAAAATCACTCCTGGTTCAAGAGCCCTTGAAAGCAGAAGAGCAACTTTTGCTGCTGGACGGCTGGGTGTCAGTTGTTGCAAAGGGAGCTGAAATGTGGGGACTCGGGGTGGGGCAGGCACAGACATGCACAGATGGTGGACCTGTCTGTAAATGACTAGAGGACCTGCTCTGCTTCTAGGAGCCCCTCAACCCATCTCATTCAGCATGATCTATTTCTCCAAGGCCCCTGGCAAAGTGAGGCTTTCATAACTAAGGTCTTTGGAGATGCTGGCAATTGAGCCTGTGGCTTTCTGCTTGCAAAACGTGGGTTTCGTCAATGAGCTATGAGCTGCCATCCTGTGCTCCTGACTGGGTGATTGGATGGCATGTTGACTGCTGCTGGTTAGTGACTGGATTTCCACGCTGTGCTAAAGCATAATTTGACTTGATTGGATTTGACAGCATGTTGTGCAAATCCAGCTGTTGTGGCTTGTAAACCATGTTTAAGTGAGCTAATTGCTTTTCATTCATCCATGATTAAACTGTGACTAAATGTGTGAAATTGGGGCAGCATTGGCAGTACTGGGGTAGGTAGGCCAGTGGCTGAAATTAGAATAAGGTGGCTTCCTGCATTCCTTCTCTGTCACATCCTCACAGGTAGCTTTGCTGAGACCTGAATTTCAGATGTTGCTTAGCTGCAGCCAAGAAGCTTTGGACAGCATCCCCACAATTGTTCACTCTGAATTAATGTTTCAGCTTAAATTTGTCTCTTGTCTTGTTTAAAATAAAATTTGTTGAATTTAAAGCAGATAGAATGAACCACTTTGCCTTATACCCAAGCTCCAAACCCAGCCACATAATCTAGACCTTCTCTTTCTCAGTGTAATGACCATGAGCTTCACCCACTGTCATTAAGGTGTGGAGACGACAATGGGCCAAGCTCTTGGGTTACAAAGACAGGAGTTCCTGGAGGGCATTTTTAACATGGGCAGGTTCTGCCAGGGTGTAACATTTCACATAAATGTAAAAACATCTTATCTTAGCTAATCCAGGGTTTCCATAAGTAGTACATGCAGTTAACAGGGGTGGAAATATTGTAGTGGCATCAGTGAAGCAGCTGTAGGTAATGTGAGAATGCATCCGAGATTCTTTCCACAGCTGGATCCAGTATTTGAGACCTCCTGTTTTCTGCGACTTGACAGAGCAAGAAATCCTTTCCTTTCTTTCTGAGCGTGCTGTTATTTAGTTACTCAGGCTGCGTATTGCACTGCATTTACTGGGGGCGGAACTTGCTTTTCGTTCATGTTCTTTTCCTTATTCTACAGAATTCAATTAATACAGAATTTATTATGCAGAATTCAATTCATGCTTGCTTAGTAAGGGGAGTTTCACTTTACAGTCACTTAGTCCAAGACATCTATATGCTGGATGGCATAAGTGGGGAGACCAGTAATTAAAAAAGAAAAGGGAAATCCTGCTTTTGCTGCTGCCTTTTTAAACACTGTGGCTGTGTTGCCTGAGACTCAGATCTGCACAGCTAGGTTCTGGGCTCCTGGTTGCTCACATCTAATGAGTGTATGTTGATCTTTCTTCCCACTGCCACCTCTGCTGACATTCTGCTCTATGAACAAATCATGCTGGGAATCCCTCCAGTTGGCCGTGTTTACACCAGGTAAGGCTGGTTCTCCTTTGCTTTGTCTTTCATCAGCTTTTGTTACCCAATCCGCCTGCTTGGTTTCCCAAGGGACCCTGGGAAGATACAATATGCCTTTTCATTTCTAAATAGATTGTGTGACCTCCCCAAGGCAACTCTATTTGGTAATTAGTGTTAACATGCAATTGTTGGCAATCTTCTGTTTTGGGGCGTTGTGGGAAAGGGAGGCGAGTGGCAGCGAGATGGCGCTCTTTAGTAATGATGAGGACATGTTCTGTCTATCCTTTCTGTCACCCTGTGAGGTAGGTTAGATTAATATATCTCAGGTCACAGGTTAGATGGTTTTAGGGGACACCTTTTAGAATTTATGGTGGGCTTAAGTCACATTTCCCACTCTGAGCCCTACAACAGGGTAGACCACACGGTGCTTTAAAAGACATTGGATCTTTTGAGATTTTGATGCTGTCACATAAGGATCTTGTAAACTTTCTGATAAGGAGGATAGGATACTGAGATTGCTAGTGTCTCTGGATATTTTAACCTCTTTTAATTTGTACCGTCTGATGCCTGTGCCTGAAAAGGTGCCGACCCATCTCCTGTTGAATGGTGAAATACTTAGGGGAGAGTTAATGCTTGCTTTCCTCCTCTCCATAATCCCAACAGTGTAAAATCATGGAACTATTAAGACTCTGTCCAGAGTTCAGGATTATTCTAAAATGTCGGGAGCTCTGTGGGAGGGGAAAATGCTGGACACTTTGGGCTCCTCCAAACAGTCCAGGTAGTCTTCATTTAGCGACTGCCTCAGACAGCGATCGTTCGCAGTTACAATGGTGATGAAAAAGTAACTTTGCGACTAATGTCCGCATTTAGACCTTCCCAGCGTCTCTTAGTCACTGTTCACCATTACGGTCAGGTAGTACCTGTTGTCCTGTGCCTGACCCATTTTTTTTTTGTCCCCCCCCAGCCCCTCCTAGAGCTGAGAGATTGCCTAAAGGAGAGAGATCTTCCTGAGCTGCTTTTCTATGCAGTGCAGGGCCTCCCTAAAAAGTGCTAAGGGCAAGTTAACAAGCTCAGCTCTGTGACCTTCATTAGTTGATTGGAATGAGCTGTTGGTCGCTGCTGCCTGAAATTGACAAGAACCTAATCAGTTTCACAGGAAAGGCTTTTGTTTGCCTCCTAAACACCAGGCGTTCCCTTTCTGTGTGTATTCCCCACTGTGTGCCTGCTTATTCTCTTGTACTCCCTTCCTCTCCAATGAATGTAAATACAAACATTAACTCCCTTCTTGCTAATTATCCCCGGCCAGGATGAGCCTTCCGAAGGATGGGGGAGTGGGGAAAAAGGGCTATAAAATTTGCCCTTTTACCCAGCTTCCTCATGAGTCAAGTTCTGGAAACCTTCTCCGCCACTTGGGCTCACCCAGCTGTTTGGGGTCATATTTTTCTGTGGCTGTAAAGCAAAGAAACCTGAAGTAAAATTGTAAGCACACGCACAGCCATGTGATTTTTTACTTAGTAACTGCTTCACTTAACAACCGAGTTGCCAGTCCCAGTTGCACTCACTAAATGAAACTTGCAGAGTCAATAGGCAGCATATTTGCGGCATTCCATCATTTTGTTTTTTACTCGTTCGGTAGATTTAGGATTCCAAAGTGACTCTGGGTGGCTCCTAAATGATTATGCTTAAAATAGAAAAAACAAGAAAAAGAACGTAAGAGTCCGGACCAATGGCACAACTAGCAACCACCCCAGAGTTCAACAACCCCCCTACCCAGAGGTCTGGGAGATGCAGGCTGTTCTTCGGTCGGCTGTCCAGGTTTTCACCGGATGCTATTCCTCTTTTCTGCCTTTCAGTGGCTAGAGACCAGGCCAAACAGACAGGTGTGTCCTGTATGTAAAGCAGGAATCAGCCGTGATAAAGTTATCCCACTGTATGGAAGGGGCAGCACTGGACAACAGGACCCCAGGTAAGAAGGCCTCTTGGGAGAACCACCTTTTGTTTTCAAGCTCTAGTCAAGTGGAATTCATGAAAGAAAACCTGTCTGGGTGTTCTTGGATCAGGTTACGTCTTCAGGTTTCTGCAGTCTTTTCCTACCTGTAAAAATCTCACCGTTCGAATGTTTGTTACTAGTAATAGGTTGCTCCGTGTGCTTCCCGTTCCCTGCCACAGCATTCATGTGTAGCTTAATGTGATGCAGCTGGAGACTGAAAATAGCATTCCACATTTCTTCATTTTGCTGTGTCCTACCAGGAGGCTCACAGGCCAAGAATCTGTCAAGCAAAGATCATCAAACTTGGTCCTGGGGATTTCTCCTCCCCTCCTATCCCTACCTTCGGAATAGTAGGATAGACAAGAAACAACCTTCTGGACATTTTAAGGATTAACAAATTTAGCATTATATAAGCTTAAGAGGAGGATGAGATGGTTAGATAACATCACTGAAGCAATGAG